CATCATTCGCCGCCTTGAGCACGACTTCGCCGAATTTGAAGATCAGCAACTGTAGAGAGTAAAATATTTCTTAAGCGATCATATTTCTTCCCAAGAACAGTACAGATTTATCCTCAGCTGCAATGTTCTAACATTGTTTAACGTTTCAGATCTCGCTCCTCAGTGCAAATATCTGACCTGCGCACGCATGATCAAGCGTAATCCGGAAGTTACATAATTTAAAACTAACTTGCATTGCCTTAACCAGTTTCGAACTACCCTTTTCGAGGTTAATTTTTTAACCTGAAACATTCCATCCATATTTTAAAGCAATATTTCCTTTAATTACTGTTGCACAAAGAATTATTATGATCCATTTTTCAGAATGAACCGTTTTTTATGCTCAAAAAGGATGCGGCTCTGTACGAAGGCAACGACCGTTTCGAAGGCTATTGCGTGGACCTGGCAAAGCTGATTTCGGAAAAGATCGAAAACTTTCCATACATTATTCGACCTGTGAAAGACAATCAGTACGGCGTGGCCGACCAAGACGGACGATGGAGTGGCATGATCGGCGAGCTGATTCGTGGGGTAAGACAAAGGGGATAGGCTGTTTCATAAGAACGTTATATATTTAAGCAATGTGCGGGGGAGCCATCGGGCCTTCTTACAGGTTATAGCCAGCTCGATTACACATGCATGATTCATAGGTACAGTAACTTTACTGCATGAACGGAACAACAGTATCTGCATAGCAGTGGAACCTCACCTCACCTGTCATCGAAGTTGTTCCCCTGTCTTGAAACATCACTGTACGGAAACCACGGAGTCCGTCATTACAAATCCGTGTCATTCAAGGTGCTGGTTTATATTAGTAACGATAGTCTTTCGATTGTAATCATACTTAATGAATGATAATTCTGAATATGCACTCTGTTATACACGTTTAGAGGTCGTAGAAAATATGAAAACTATGGGTCTAATCTCCAGCATGAAAGAATCCGCCCCAGTTTCCATGGTTAAATGAATCATACTGTAGCGATGTGCTGTTTTCAGGAGGCAGATGCAGCCATAGCTTCTCTGACGATCAATACGTTAAGAGAACGGGTCGTAGACTTCAGCAAGCCGTTTCTCATCACAGGTGTCAGCATCATGATCAAGAAGCCGAACAAGCAAGAGTTCTCGGTGTTTTCGTTCATGCAGCCGCTCAGCACCGAAGTCTGGATGTATATAATCATCGCTTACATCGGCGTGTCGGTGATCATTTACTTCGTGTCTCGCATAAGCCCAAAGGAGTGGCGCCTGAACGAGAATTCAGACGACACACTGACCACGCTGAATGCGTTCTCGATTCAGAATTGCATGTGGGTAACTTTGGCCGCCTTCATGCAGCAGGGCACGGACATAATGCCGAGGTAAATTTCTGATAGAAGAGGAACGAGTTTGATTTCGACTCAAGTGCCGTAACATGAGAAAATTTTAGGCATGTACACCCTGTAGTCGGGCATTTATAGCGTAAGGAACGCTTGAGTGAGTGAAATACATAAGGCAAGAAAATATCGAGGCAAAATGATGGCCAAATTCTCATTTACAAATTCGTAGAGTTAAGCGAAGTCTGACATGTGGAAAACTACCTGTTACTTAAAATGGAAATCTCATTACTTCATCACCATCAGTCCTTTTCGATCCACTGCTGGATGAAGGCTCTTCCAAGAATTTGCCTCACGTTTTTGTCTTCTGTGACTGTTATCCATCTTGGTCGAGCAAACCTCCTCAGTTCATCCAGCCATCATCGATCTGGATGTTTCCACGGACCGTTCACTCTCTTTGAGCACCCATTTTAATACTTCTCTGGTCCAGCGATGAGCGGTTCTCCTTGCAACGTATTCTGCCAACTTGTTTGCACTTCCAGCGCATTACATCGCGGACTCCTATTTATGTTCTTATGCTCTAATTCAGATTCGTTTCTTTCGTTGTTATTCCTAATATACATGTTTCCATGCTGTGTGGAGTTGACTGTAGTTCATGAATAGCTTTCAGGTTTGGAGTCCATGTTTTGTACTCAATCTCAGTGACTCAATCTACCTTGAAAACACATTAATCTCCTGTCTCAGTAAAGTGTACCGTAAACTGCCGTTTGTAAGTAACCATGCATGAAGCTGTGATATAATGAAAAACAAGTTTCAAACAACATATTCGCTTTTGACGGAAACTCGATTTCAGATCTGCTGCGTGCCGTGTTGCCATCAGCGTGTGGTGGTTCTTCACGATGATCATCGTTTCGTCGTACACCGCGAATCTGGCGGCATTCCTGACCTTAGAGAAAATGCATGCCCCCATCGAAACTGCCGAAGATCTGGCCAGACAGACCAAAATCAAATATGGCATTCAATCGATGGGTTCAACGGCTCAGTTTTTCCAAGTATTCACACTCAGGCCGATGTTCATGCAGTCTTTACCATTGCCTCGTTTAGGAGTCGACGGTGGACGTACACCGACGAATGTGGCAGTACATGATAACACAGGTGCCGAGTGTTTTGGTGAACACGTACGCCGAAGGAATACAGCGAGTGCGAGACTCGAAGGGTCAGTACGCGTTCCTCTTGGAGGCAACGGCGAACGAGTACGCCAATACAAGGAAGCCATGCGATACGATGAAAGTCGGACCGCATCTAAATTCATTGGGCTACGGGATAGCGACTCCGTTTGGCTCTGATCTGAGGTAACGCACGTCTTCAAAAACTGCTCTTTTCACAAGAGACCGCTAATCGCAGAATAGAAACTGTTTTTAGGAATGCTGGCTTTCATAAGAGCGTGCAAGATTTGCCTTGGTGTCTTATCCTGCGATTAATACAAACTATTGAGCCGTCGATAAATTTCAAGGGAAAACGCAACGGTGGATCTTTCGAACACACGGTTACTATAGTTGTTGAGGGCTAATGCAAGAATTCAGTGTGACAAGTCAAAATCAAAGCTCGTAGGGCTCACCAGATGTCCGTTAGCTTTGCTGCCAACACACGCTCACTAGGCCTTCTGGCTCTGGTAGTTCCAAACACTGCAAATAACAAAATAACTTTCGAAACCAGTCCACTTCTCTACTCTGAAGATGGCCGCAAGACACGGACTGAAATGTCGGTACTGGTTAATCATCCCATTGACCAGATTTTTTGAGTTGGTTATAAACAAATCGTGTCTTGATGATGTTTTCAATATATGTTCATGAACCGTCACCGGACTTCCTGCTGGGAATTGTCTTTAATGCTGAACTTTGAATTTAATAACATTAAGACGCTTGATGTCGAAAACTGTGCATATATCTTGACAGTTTTGATGAAGCTGAAATAGTTACCTGCATACAATGATATATGCACGTTTCTGACTAGTAAACATAAAAGGTAAATAAAAGCATTCTGCAGGAAAGGGGAAAAATTATGTTACTTCAAAATAGTGTGGTACAAACTACTTCTTCTCATGATTTCATCGAACCATTATAGACTCATTCTGTACTTCTAGTTAGATTGTTCTTTCTCTTTTATGGACAAGTCAATCTTATAGACTTTAGGTCAGCATGGCCCAATCAGCTGATGTTTCAACGTTTATAAAAAGACACCAACTGAACTAGAAACCGTATATCCAACCGTTCCGTGCCAATATTCGTACAAATTAGGTATCGGTTCCTCACATTTCTTACCGGATCGTACCTCATGTAACCGATGTTTCGAGCTGTACTTGACTCGGTATCAAGGTGCAGTATTAAAAACAAAACTTACCAGAGCTTTTTCGAAAATTTATTTCAATTCTGTCTTTTTCTTCAATAACTTGCCACTTCAGTGGTTCGACACAAGGAAACAGACTGAATGGTCTTATAATAAATCGGAAGTCTTAGCCAAGCTACATGATCATTCTCATTGTTTTCCCTTCGGATGGCCAGTATAATTTGGCTGACAAATCGGCAGTTATAATAAAATCTATCATCTCTTTGTTTCTTTGTGCCTATTACCACTGAAATGCCAACTTATTAATTTACCGACTATAGTGTACAGAGTCCATATTTACCATCTGACCGTGACTCCAAACCAAGCATATTCCGAAACATTGGCAATATCCTAAGAATTCCTTACAATCCCGAGAGAAACGTGAAGACCGTAAACTTTATGTTCAGCACAAAAGAACGCTATTAGATCATCAGGTTTAACGTGATGCAAAACTGAACTAACCAAGAGCAATTTTTAGAGAAAGAATAAACCTAGCAGTTTTGGAACTGCAAGAAATCGGTGAACTGAAACGGTTGGAAATGAAATGGTGGTATGAAAAAGGCCAATGCGAGCAGGGCATCAGTGTAAGTTTTATTTGCGTTTTTTTCAGTTTTATAGATTCTGTTTAATCGGCTAATAATTTTTTCCAGGACAACCAGAGCGCATCTCTCAACCTGAGTAAAGTCGCCGGAATATTCTACAGCTTGGTCGTGGGAATAGTCGTTGCCAAGCTAGCAGCCATGATTCAATACCTGTACCACTTGAGACAGGAAAGGAAGGCATCAAGGGTATGTAAGGGCGACGATCGGTCTTCTTTCGACCCTTGACTGATTCCGTTCAAACACTGACGCTGATCAATGTCTTGATAAATCGCACTTCCTGCCTAAGACACTTGCAGCAACAGCTGTAGCAGTTTGCCAGTTAATTCGTCCAGGTCAACAGATGTTTGAGCAGAGTTTGGTGGCTTGCATATGACCAGTATATAGAGGTCAGAGATGAATAAAAAACTTCGAAATCAATCCGTGCTCCGTCTCTTATGGCCCAGCAATTCACCTCGACTAATCCACAATTATGAAATCAGCTTTTATTACTGAATTTTGACAATGGACCAAGTATGATTGGAACCGTCGACAATTTCTGTGATAAAATCTGTACGCGAAGCAATTCCGTAAAATACATGAAGGATACGAAATTAATATCCCTCATAAAAGAATTATGTTCAGTTGTGTCAAGTTTTTAAGTCGCTTGTAATTCAATCAATCACATAAGCTGGTTCCTTTGAACAGCAGCGGTTGAATCATCAAGAAAGCAACTGAGACCACCTTTCAGGAAGACGAACAACAGCCTATGTGAATGCTTGGTGTTAAGTGTTTCAATGCCAAATGATGAATGCTGATCGAATCAAACCTGCACTCGCTGGTATACTTGTCCTTCGACCAACCATCGGGCAGTACGAAAAATTTTTTTATTTAAGAACGAAGTTCCTATCCGAAGAAAAAGATACAGCTGCGAAAAGTCGATCAAAGAAAGGAAGATGCAGAACAGCGACATCCCTCCTTCTAGTTCCCACAACTTCTACGACATCGTCCAAATGCCGTAGATTACAGGTGACAACGTGTTAGCGAATGCTGGACGACACGATGTAGAAGGTGGTAACGTTAATTTACAAAAGAAATAAACCGTAACTAAAAATGTATTCAGTTGCTGCGATTTAAGTAGCTGCGTTGGTTACCAACGGGTCGATTCATCAGAGCTACACGAAATGTCAGAAATTGGTCAGGACATGAAGACTGAAGTACCAGTGTCAAATAAACGATAGGACACCACATCCTTCTCAGCCCGTTTTCTGACTGATCTCTTACAGATAGCATTGGCAATTGAAATCAACAAGCAACCGATAGTTCCCTGGCTTTTCGGTCATGACAATGAGAATCTGTCCCGATTGGGGAGGTTGGCAATAAAGGATGAACCAAATTCAAATCAAAACGGAAAACTAATGAAATTCTAAACTAACGAAAGAAATACGCCAATTCGTTGAGATGACGAATAAATGATATGCTTCACGGTTGAAGATGCGAAACTGCGGGTACGCTATCAACCCCACCGCCACTGCGGTGCGGTAGTATAGTGGCAAAAAGGTCAGCCTCAAACCAGAGGTGCATGATCAGATTGCAGAGAACGGATAATGTTTGTTTTAACCACGAATTTCCTTGAACAACAAATTTATCCCACGCTTATTCGGTGCAAATAGCTGAGAAACGAACAGTAAGTCGTTGACTTACGCACAACAGGGGTAACATGGTGTTCCGGTATGGCCACACCAGAATGAGCGAGAGGCAGATCACGCTGTGATGATGCGAGCGAATCATAAATCTGTAATTCACCTTAACCAACCCAATATCTTCTTTTTCATTCCGATAATCAGCAAAAATACTGAACACTGCTTTGTCCCGTTGTTTATACATAACGGAACGCATTTTAATCACAAATCTATCTTCTGTAGAAAAACTCCCGTTTTACTGGAATAAGAAAATAATAAATTCAAAATCTTCAAACCGACAAAACACAGCCGCCTGAAAATCACAGAAGTTCCGTAAAAATACTACGTCATGTATTAACATTTACAACAAAAAACGGCTTTTAGCAAGAAATGACTTTTTACATTGCTTTGACAAATGTCATTGCAAGGGCTCTGTAATAATACATGCTTTTAGTTGGTATGACAACTCTGACTCTGTGGCAAAATGTTTCTGTTTTCAGTAACATATTGCTGAATCGATAGTTCTTTTATTCTGGAAGGGTGACTTGATGTCATCCTGCATTCAGAGGATCATAAGATTAGCATACAAGCCAGAAAAACATCTGTGTTAACTTACCAAGAAATGTTCATGTGAACTATCGAACAGTGCTGCATTTCACTCCTTTTCACGGATAAACTCATCGAACTTTTTTGGACCTTCCGTTTGCCCAATTTATTAACTGTCATCTTACGGTAAGGAGAGAAACGGCATGGGTAAATAAATTATCCAAGCAGTCGTTGGTAATTCTTCCAACCAAATGTTAATCAACTGACAGTGACCGATGTGAACGTCTACGAAAAATATCTTCCACCGCACTTTCATCTAGCATAAAAAGACTTTTCTTCAGCCGTTGCCTGTTCGACACTATAAGGACGCTACAGCTTGACTTAAGGAAAGTAGTAGACAAAAATCAACTCAAGAAACGTTGAGAAAAGAAACTTGTGATTCAGGCTGTCATGAAATTCACCTATGTGCTAACTGATGGGCAACGCTAAATACAGAAAGAGCGAAAACGTATCACTAATGCTTCAATCATTAAGGCTCCAAATTCTAAGGTTATTACTGCACGATGCCGCTGGTAAAAGCGCTATGAAAACCTGTTGATATCGCTACAAGAACTCTGTCAGTGAAAGGTAGATTTAAGACAGACTGGTTGAGCACAAGTTCCTCTTCACTTCAAGCCGTGAGTTTCTCAGGAGGGAATCGAAATGTGGCAGGGGTCGACCAACAAGCCAGCATGCAGCGCGGATAAACAAACTAGTGGCAGATCTGGCTTGAAATACCGGAAGCTACAAATACAGCGTACTCCACAAACCAAAAACATCCTGCTCATGCAAATGGCTCTATGATGACATGCCCTAAAAATCGATTACGCAAATGTACAGAAGGAGCTGTAACGGTGAACGGTTTATCAGTATAACCATCCGTGATCTGACTCTGCAACACTGATGATAATAACTGTATTCGAATTCTCATATCTAAATGAGCAATTTTCATCAGTTAAAGATTACAAGAAAAAAATCAACAAAAATACAGAATGACTGATGACGTATTTCATACTGTTCTGAAACATCCTCAGCAGATGTGCCACTCGCTTCATGTTTCAAGGGCAAATGATCATAATGTTTGTCATTCACTGAATGTCACTGGTGTATCTATGTGCATTGCCAAGAGATG